TTCATCTACTTCTAGACTTCAGTCTTGTTTCAGAACTTGAACTCTGTGTGCACATCAGTTTTTCAGATTTGGCCTACGTGTATGCAGACTGTTCGTTCCTCGCCTCTCAGGCAGATGCGCTCCGACTTTGCAGGAAAAATCACTTATTAGTCTCCTTTTATGATAAACTTGTTCTTTTCCCATAAATCAGGGCCCTGGAACCGGCATAATAAATGAAAGCATAGAACTGAAAACTATATTGGAGTACGAGGGCTATTTCTAAATCAACCCCTGACTGGCCAGTAAATATTAACCGTTTGCCATAGTGACACTGTTCATCACTTGCATCAGTCAGTGGTCTTTCAGCTCACTATATATCAATCTACAGACTCATTTTTTCACTGGTTCATGAACCACAAACAAATAAACATGGATTCCGTTATTGCCTCTCTTGCCATGTCTAGAATAGACCCCGTTTTACAGATGAAAGATGAATGAATGAAGAATGACTACACTCAGAACATTTCCTTATGGCAGTGGGTCTCAACCTTCTTAATGCCTCGACCCCCGACCATAACATTATTTTCGTTGCTACTCCATAACTTCAGTGAATATGTGTTTTCCTAGTCGACCCCTGTGAAAGGGTTGTTTGACCCCCAATCGGGTCATGACCAACTGTCTTATGTGCTTCATCCCTTTGTCATTGAACAAAGAATTCCATATTGAATCCTGGTCTCTTCAATGTAACCAACCTAACCTCTTGCATCATTAGTATATTAATGATAAATTAGTCTATGTAAAATTGGTCTTCTTTGTACTCGACTGTGGCAGTTTTAGTAAGTGAAAAAAAAAAAATTACCCTTTCCACGCCTTTAGGCAAATAGGGCATATAGGGCTAGACCTATATTTTATAGACAAATCATGCCGGCCATCTTTACTTTCTGGGACTGCACCCGTTACTGGGTCGACCTGGGAGCTAAGATCATTTTTTTAAAAAGTCCAGCCCCACCTGGGTGAGAACCCATGACCTTCCGATCCACAGGCAAGCATCTAGCGGCTTCGCTACGGCGAATTCCACAGTTCCAGTAGTCTACGTTAAAATACATTCAGTCTTTCTGTCTTTGATTTGGTTTTTCTGGCACCTGCTCTATGCTTTCTCCAAACAGTGTATAGATTATTAAGCTATATCCAAGTTCTGAAAGACTTCTGATGTAATATGTGAATGGGCAAACTAAAGAGAAGTAATACACTGAACACAACCATGCACAGAAGTAATTTATAGAACAGGAAGCTAAAGAGAAAGTATAGAATTGTAAACTATACTGAAATAATATATAGATTATTAAGTCATAATGATGTTTTATAAAAAAAAAAAAAAACAGGCTACTTTAGGGTAACATAATGTATGAATGCTTGGGTGCTGATCCAGTGGTCATAGGTTTAATTCCATATGACGCAGTCCAAAATGGGTACAAATTAATGTTCCAGGTCCCTGTGTGGGTTCTGGGGCCCCACTGTGGGGTAACAAAAGAATATACCCACTGCTCCCTAAAAGCATGTCATAAAAGTCGACTAAATTAGGGAAGTGCTCTAAAGTCGGAGTGCATCTGCCCGAGAGGCGAGGAACCAACACCCTACGTACATCTACGTACAAATAATATTTATCTGTAAATATTATGTGCATACAAAGCTCAGGTTATGGAACAAGACTAAAGTCCAGAAGTGGACAAACAACCAGAACTTTTCCACCAGAGTTTACAGCTGGTGAACATGAAAAATTTTAATGTCCCAGGAAGTAAAGGCAGCTAGTATGCCAATGATCACTTTACTCACTGAGTGCCGATTAGACCGATCTACACAAATGTGGAGGCAGGACTAAATGTTCAAGAGGATGAATGAAGAAGATTGGGAAGAAGATTCATAAGAAAAATCATCATCAATCAGCAGATATTTTACAGAATGCCTGAAATTCTCTATTTCTCTAGCCGATTCTCCAGCCCTATGTGCTTTCATAGCCAATGCATCTTCAAAATTTTGTATCCACCTTCATGTGGGTCGGCCTAAGATCTCGTCTGTTTAGAGTTTCTTCTGCCCCCTTGCTTCCACAATGCATTACTAGTTATAATTAATTGCTAGTACGTATATGTTTTTGTTCAAATAGATGATTCTGTGTGGAGTAATCTCACCATGCAGATCTCTTGTGTTTTTGTCGGCTTCTGTTTTTATGTATTAGAGTGTTTCTAGGGATTGTATGTGGATACATAATGTGGAAGTGTTTTTCTGCATGTGTCTGTGTGTCCCCTGGCCTTTCCACATCAAATTTTTGATACCTGGTGTGTCTGCTGAGTATCGCAATTTTTAGTCAATGGGTGTTTAGATCTGTCTCAAGGTAAATGAGTACTACTATGTGATGCTACTGGTCTGGAAAACAGCAGGTGAGCATCGGTGTGTAGATTATGTCCGCTCTGTATTCTGGTGGTGTCGGATACGCTTGTAGTCCTCAAGCCCATGTGTATATCTGGTGCCGCACCACTGTGTGTGTTGTGTCCACTGTGTGAGGACTGCAAGTTCAGTGTCTGGATTGTATGCGTGTGTGTGTTTTAGAGCGTGTGTATTATGTATTTGTATGTATGTATGTATGTAAATGTATGATGGCCATGGGTGTATGCATGTATGTTTTTGTGACTCTCTCCAAGTATGTATTTCCGACGATGCATGTATGTATGTATGTAGAAAATGTATGTATGTACCTGTATATGTGTGTTTGTGTGTATGTATGGTATTATGTGAGTTTGTATGCATGTACCCATGTATGCATGCATGGTTCGTATGCATGTATGTATGTATGTTTGTGTATGTATGTATGTATGTATGTATATGTAACGTATGTATGTATGGCAAGTCATGTAGTATGTATGTATCACGTGATGCAGTGATATGTGGATGTATGTGGTACTACAACTTCTGCAGTGAGTATTGGGCTTGTGTGTGTATGTGGGTGTGTGTGTTTGCGCGTGACCTGTACATATTTTACCAGCCATGCTTTTGTTTTTGACTTCATTGTGTATGCACATTATCTGAATAGAATGACAAATGACTAATTGTGTGAAAGATGAATTTCAAGACAGGCCTGCGTGCTTAATTAAATAAACCCACACTGAATCGCAACTTTAGAATCTTAGATTGCCACAAATGGACTAATGTGATGAAAGGCAGGCACGTAGAGATGTCCGCCTGTATTCTGGTGGATATGCAGTCCTCAAGCCCATGTTAGCCGCACCACATTCTCCAATGTGAGGAAGTTCAGTCTAGATTATTCCCCTTTGTCGAAACATGAGGCCAGGGTGGCATTTTCCACTCTCTGAGTACTTTTCGACGACAATAAGAAAAATAGTTACCTGCATATGTTTTTGGTAGAACCCGTGGAAAAAACAAACTGGAAAAACAGCAACCAGTGAACAAGACATGGAATGGACCATTTGTGTACACAATCTGCAAAAATTACAAAATGACTAATTGTTGTCAAGCTGATATCAAGAAATAAAATAAACCCACACAAGACTAGGAAGCTCAACAAATGGAAAGGGAAAGGCGCACACAGATAAAAGCAAGTGTTTCAACCAAAATCTTTATTAAAAAAAACAAAAACAAAACAAAAACAGCAAGAGGAATCCCAAAAATAAAAACAATGAAAAGCTTTCCCATATGCTAATTTCTCACATGCAAGTGAATGTTTCTGGATTTTTCTTGTTCTAATAGTCTGTTTACTATTACTATAAAAAAAATAAAGCTTGAAAAGAACACAATTTTGTCATAAATTCTTAATTTAAAATCTTTGTAATTAAATGAATGAAACTGCTCAAACTGCACATAAGAATTCCTTAGGGTTCACCCAATCAGTTCTTCAGCATCCAGGACATCAATGTTTTATTCGCACTGACTTTCCCATCAACTAATAAAAAGACGCCAATGGATAACTATGTTTTTATTTTTGTGTGTGATTTGTTTTTAACAGTATAGTTTTTAAATGGTACAGCCTAGAGCAGTTTGTGTGATGTTCCCTGGCACAAGAACAGAGCAAGTATGGGGGTGACTCATCTGCAGCGATGCTAAAACTTTGGCTGCCAACTACTGACCCACTTCCTCACTCATACAGCCTAGCTGTTAACCACAACACAATAGCCCTTTTGAGGGTGAACACAGAGAAAGAAAAAATGGTCATGGATCAGTCCAGGGCCAGTACAGTGATTTAAGAAGGTACGGGTCTCAACCACCCACAACATTCTCAACTATTACGTTCCCTGTGTGGGTTCCGGGGGAGTCACCGTGGCATAGCGGCTAGAAACTCCTGTGAGGAACGGAAAGTCTTGGGTTCGCTCCCTGGCAGAGCCAGACTTTAAAAAAAAAATGACCTTGGCTCCCAGGTCGACCCAGCCTTGAGTGGGTACCGGGTGCACTCCCGGGAAGTAAAGGCGCCAGTGTGATGCTGATCACATCACCCATCTTGTGCCGATTGGGCTATAAAAATATAAATTCACAGTCATCACCTGGTTCTCACAAAAGTCTTACTTCTCACAAAGCATTCAGTATGTCTGCCTCGTCCATAGTTTGTCTGCCCTCCCCAGTAGCTTTATCTGCAAGCCTATCAGCTTACTCCTTTCCTTGCATCTCTGCGTCCCCTGGCATGAAAATGAATCTGCTTTTTTTTTAAAAATCAGCCATGACCGTCTCAGAGTCATAAACCACTGCCTTCCAACTCAGCAAATCTATCTTCCTGAGCATACTCAATGAGTTACTGAGAAAACATGCGTGGGAGAAAGTATGTGTCTCTAGCCGTTTTACTGCTTTGGTCACTGCCAAGACCTCCAGAGTCTGACCACTTGTAGTCGAGCGAAATAATGATTAGTGAGGACTATCTTTACAGCACTGACAGGCCAACAGTCCAATAAATAAAGAGACAGAATCAGCCTCACTGTTAATTCAAATTTTTTTTTTCCAAAAAAAAAAGTCAAAATAATTACCTGTGATGAAAAAAATAGCAGCGAACCCACTTCCACTGGTTTCTTGAAAACAATGTCATCGACACATTTGCAGGTCCCTGGTCTGGTTTTCCTGTTAGACATTTTTACAGAATTGGTAAAATTATGAAAAAAAAAAAAACAGAAGAGAGGTTAAGATTGTTCTTCCATCTTCTTTTTCTGCTCAGTTAGTGAACTGAAGTTACTGTTTTCTGAAATGTTTTGGTGATAATCCTAATTATAACTACGGTAGCAGTTACTGTTGTGTTAAGGTGGATAAAACATTTATTACAACTATTACAGTGTGACAGCATTTGCCTTAAGTACTGGTAAGTATTTGCCTACTTTGGTGTGAATGGATCAGAGACTCTTTCAAACACGTGTAAAAGTGAGCTGTGGAGCAGCTGGCTGAACAGTTAATAGCTTCAGGCTCTTATGCGAGAGACCCGGGTTTGAATTCTCTGCAAGATTGGGGATCATCCATTGGGGACAAATATGAAATCCTAACATACACAGTCTGTAGCAACAGCACTAGCCATGTGGCCCTAAATCCTCAGGCTCAAAGACTCCCTCAGTCTACAAGGCAAAAGTGATAAAAACCAGCAGTATCTGGCAGTAGAAGTGAGCTAAAGCTGTCAGGCAGAAATCACTGCGCTGGAGTAAGCTTTACCACATTTGAAAACTGCATTTGAGGTCTGAATTTTTTCAAGGGTCTAAACTGACAAACTAGAAAATAAATATCAATATAATAAAATAAATATCAATATAAGCAACACTTACGTGTAGAGGGACACATTTGTCCATGCCAGTTCATAAGCTTTCATCATCAAGAACCCTCCAAATATTTTGTTATACAAGTTTCGGTCCTGCAAAGAAACATAAATTAAGTAAATATAATGACACACTTAAACAGATCTGGCTTCTCTCATGGTGTTGACAGTTTGGAGTTTTACAAAACAGAAGAAAAAAAGAGGTATATTGCTTCTGATCCTGCACAAGGGTAAAAAGAAGGAAAATCTGTATGTGTGGTGCATACAAACAAAAAAATCCTTTGCAGTTGGAAATAAAATTTAAAACACAGGATAGGTCACGGCAAGGACAAAAATGTGAGTATTTTTAGAAAAGCTACCAAATGGTCAACCTAAAAAAACCTGCAGAAGGACAGTAGAAAGGGAAAGGAAGGAATGTTAAATAATATGGGATATCATAGGCAGACCGGCAGCAATGGAGATCACCTGTGAATGCTTTATGTGTCATCACTGACACAAACAGGACATAAAATAGATTTTAAAAAGTTACCAGCAAAAAAATACATTAAACAAATGCATTTTTTTAGAGATCCTTGTGTATATGTTAGGATTTTCACCGCCGCTACACAGTGTGTGTGTATGTGCTGAGATTAATCTTTTGTGGTTTATGGGAGGAGACTGATACACTTATGAAGATATCTCTGTGCAATGAAAGCAATCCTTTACAAACCAGAACAAATCATCCAACATGTTAGCAGGTCTGAAGTGGAAACACAGACATACATCATAAGCTTCTAGGTATGTTATAAGAGATGAAGTAATAAAGACACAATAAATACTGTAGATTGAATGATTCCCTGTCTGGGTTCTGGGGCCTCATTGTGGTAAAAAACTGCCTACCCAAGAAGCATGTCGTAAGAGTCGACTAACTAAGGGTGTTTCCGTTGAAGTTGGAGTACATCTGCCTGAGAGGCAAGGAACCAACAGTCTGTATACAAATAAGTCAGATCTGTGAAACAGATGTACATGCACGCAACAATCAGGTTCTGGAACAAGTCTAAAGTCCAGAGGTGGATGAACAACTAGAACTTTCTGCCAGAGTTTACAGCATGTGAATTCTAAGAAGAAGAAGAAGAAGAAGAAGGAACATAAAAAAAAAAGAACTACAAACCTCTGGATGGCATATAATCAGTGTTTTCAAACGGCTTTCATCCATCCACACAGAATTGTCTGGTTTCACTCGCACCCTCAGTGTTCCAGATCTGTAAACAGAAATTATTAATAGTAATGCAAAAAAAAATGTTAACATAAACTAACATACACACAAAAACTCACCATTCTTGGTTTAACAAATCAACATCACAGCACTTGAATCACACTAAAATTCAACTAGCATTCCTTAACTATGCCATTCTATCTGTTACTGAACTCTTTCTGCCTTCAGTTCAGTTACATCAACTTTATACCATTCTATCTGTTACTGAACTCTTTCTGCCCTCAGTTCAGTAACATCAACTTTATGCCATTCTGTTACTGAACTCTTTCTGTCCTGGTGGTCTCCGTGGCAAAGTGGTCAAGCCATTTGCCTTGTGCTCTGAAGGTGGCGAGTTCCTTCACGGCTGCCCCCTCAGTTCATGCGTGCAATTTTTAAGGAGATCTCAGGGGATCGTCGCAGGAGCTATGGAGTTCGTGCTCTGTGCGGTGCTCTCAGCAGGCAGCTAACTGTTCTGCGGAGAGAGACCGAACCATATGAGATAAAACCCGTTGCAATGAAGTGGATCCTCACAACATTAACCTTTCTTTCTGTCTTAAGCTCCCTGTGGAAGTTCCATAGCCGAAGTTTGTTTGACCCCCCTCCCCCAATGAAACAAACACTCTGTCCCTTAATAAATATCCTAGAAAAGTGATAAAGCATTTTTATCTCCGTATATTGTTTGATAAATTTGTAGCGATGATAAATCCATTGCCCACTGCAGCTTCACCAGAACCCTCTTTGCCAGATTGTTCTGAAGTGACCCAGACAGATCTTACCGGTTTCTGTAGCAATCTTGTAGAACAAGGCATCATAGTTCGCCCAATCCTAGCAATTCTTTACTTTGTCCTATTTATCGCCTTTCATGACAAGGACATAGGGTTTAATCTCCTCTGACACCCAAAGGGGTAAAAGAGGAAGTGACAAGGAAGAGAAAAAAGGATCTAGGGATCTGCTAAAACTGGATGAGCTGGGTCAAAAGGTGCAGACACCACAGCCTAGCTTAAACCAAAATGCAATATGCCAATTGGCATTTTTAGGGGGAACAGGAGAAGAATAATAAGGTCCTAAACAATGAATCATGGGTTTTTGTCTCTTCCCCTTGAATCCCAACCACAGCAAAAGACGAGTTCTCTTATATGATACTTTTGGTCCAATACAGAAGAAATCTGGCTTCTCCAGTGACCTCTTCAATTGTGTTTACCCCTTTTTTTAAAAGAAATTATTTACTTAATAGGGAGCCGCCGTGGTCTAGCAGCTAGAGGCTCGCTTGTGGATCGGAAGGTTGTGGGTTCGGGTCCTGATAGAGGCAGGAATTTGTTTCTAAAATGACCTTGGCTCCCAGGTCGACCCAGCCTTGAGTGGGTACCAGGAATAGTCCTAGGAAGTAAAGGCATGGTGCTGACCACATTACTCACCAAGTGCAGTTTGGTCTATAAAATATAGGTTTAGACCTACATACCCAATACGCCTGATGGCGTGATGATCCTTTACTAATGATTATTATTACGGCTGCACATCTGCAATAAACCTTTTCAGACTGAAAGAGTCAAATAACAGTCATTCATGAATAGTATTCAGAATATCTCATTTGTGCAACATGAGTACCCCAGTTAGATGCTCTTGAAACCAACCGCTTGGAATAGATAGGATAACGTATAACCTGTTTAGGAAATAAGGGATAATGTAACAGTTGCTTGGGTTAGATGAGATGAGATGAGAAACTGCTTGGGAGATACGGGATAAAGTAATAAAAGCTTGTTTATTTTCTGTATCTTTCTCTGATGTCTGTGGTGTGTGCCTCATTTTTAACACTCCCTCCAAGATTTGAGCTGAAGTTTGAACAACGGATCAACATCATGGCACACAGGTAGTAACCCATAAGTGCTCCGTTCATCTTCTAACTCAAGTCTGAGTCAGCACAGTGCACAGGCTCTGTAGCACCGGGGAGGATCCTGAAATACTTGATGTGTGGTGCAGGGAGTAAAATGTATTTAAAGAAGAATATTTTTGTATACGCGTGTTCTTATTTTGAACTAATTTGCTTGAGCTAATTGTCTCCTATGCTGTAAATTATTCATTCACACAGATTCTGATTTCCTTAAATGAAGTCTCTAAGTCAACTACAAGTGGAGAAACAATTTTCAAAGTTTTTGCATATGTACTGAGCTTTAAAACTCTGATAAATAAGTTATACATGCTTCAGCAAATGCAGAAACAGAGCTTTAAAACATACTCCTTTTTAAACCCCGTTTGCACAGCTGTTTTTTACTATGGATAATTGTGAATTATGTAGGGAAACTTAAAATGGTCAAATTTTACGATTTCAACTTGGTCCCTCCCCTTAAGACGAGCTAGTCCCCAACTGTATATTATCTGCTGGTGTTCAGTAAAAAAAAAAAACGGTGCTCTGTGATGTAAACATGTGCCTAACAATGTACAGTTGTACAGCTTAGAGGGAACGTTGTGACGTCAGTGTTTCTGAAGTCTGCCGAAGCTGTTTGTGATGCCTGTTCATGTTGTAAATCATTGAAACAAACCGGTTCCAGTTTATTTTAGATGTTCAAAGACAATCACACTTATCACTGGATTAAAAATACAATAAAAAGATAACCATAAAATACCTACTTCTGATCTACAGTTGACAAAAAGATATCATGAATGACCAATCTCTCTTCCTCAGTTGGTATTGTTTTTAGTAGAGACTTACTTCCCTCGAGCTGTCTGATTGTCTTATTTTCTGCCAAGTATTGAAAAAAAGAAAAGAAAAGAAACAAATTAAACTGAAGAACAATCCTCTCACCACTCTACGTTTTAATAAGTGATTTTGTGTATTCCTGTTTGTAACTGCATCATTGTTTGTTTGTGCCGTATGCTGATAAAGGCTTTCTAGCTGCTATGTTCATTCTGTGAAGCTGACTCATTCTACTTCTGGAACTTATCACAATATTGTCCCCACGGTGAGTTACTTCCTGTTCCGTTCATGCTGCGGCTGGTCAAAGGGCCTGTCCTATGTTGTGGGAGTGTTGTGAAATAGCTTTGTTTGGCGTTCGCTCACTGAATACAATGTTTGTGAGAGGTTGTGTTGTCCTGAGTCTCTCTGAAGCACTGTAGGTCCCTGTGTACAAGTAAGAAGTATTTCAGGGGGAAGCGCTGCAGGTGCGATGGTGCGTGAGTATCCAAACTGGGATGCTTTTATATTTCTATGTTCCTTAGCGGTGACTTTCACCACAGAAAAAGAAGCGACGGCCAAGGAAAGTAGAAATACAAAAACATCCCAGTTTTGCAACTCATGAACCTTCGTGCAAGTAGCACAACGTGCCAATAATCTTACAAGTGAGTGGTGACAACGCGAGAAAAGAGAGAACTGTTGAACCGTTGAAAATAAAGAACACATGACACCCCCCCCCCCCCCACAACATACGACATGCCGTGTAACCGGCCATGGCATGAATGGTACAGGAAGTAACTCTCACCGTGCTGTGATAAGAATCCTACTTCTTGTCTAGATTAACATTTTTTCATAGTAATGCTTAATTTTTAGCTCATATAGGTCTCAAATGGGATGTTATCTCTCTGGGCACAGGGTAGGAGTCTTCCTTTTTATGGTTTTTGTCTCTCAATGGATACAGATGTGCGGAACCATACATGGTGGTGCATTAGGATCTTCTTCTGCATTCACTGATCAAAAGTTCTGGTTATTTGTCCACTTTTGGACTTTGGTCTTGTTTGTTCCAGATTCATTTGACAGTTCTAGCTTATTTGTATGCAGACTGTTGGTTCCTTCCTCTTAGGCAGATGCTCTCCAACTTCAAAAGAAAAATCAACTCAATCTACGCTGATCAGAATTAACTAGGTACTTAATGCGTTCTCCTTCTTCTTCTTAGCGTTCACTGGCTGCAAACTTCGGCAGAAAGTTTTGGGTTTTCGTCAATTTCTGGACTTAGGTCTCATTCCAAACCTTAAGCTTTACGTGCACATCCATTTTACAGATCTGGCTTATTTGTACGCAGACTGTTCCTCGCCTCTCAAGCAGATGCACTCCGGCTCCAAGGCAGTTAATAAAAGCATCAAGATCAACTACTAATTTTATTCTTCTGTCTTCCGATTGCTTGGAATCAACCTAGATTTGCAATTTTGTTTCCGGCTGTTTTCTGTAGATTCTGCACTCTTAAATAGTTTGACAGTTTTTTCTACAAAAGGGCATTTTAACTGTATTTAAATTTGGTACATTGTTATAATACACTGTTCTATGGACTGTTTAACGCTGAATTAAGAATAGACATTACTGTCTCCCATAAGCGCTCCTTCCCCATCTTCAGCAGCAAGCGAAGAGCTCCAATCCGATGGTACAAGTAACTGTCTGACTTTACATCCATCTCACACTTCCTCTGAGTGTTGAGCCAGATGCTTTGGTAACTCCTGGCAGTGCCATTCTTCTCAGACCATAATTATCTATCTGTGCCTCCTCACTGTTCACTCACTCCCAAAGGACCCTCACAACATCTAGCTCGTCACACATCAATTTAACAACAAGTGGTGCAGAACCCATCAGTCTTTCTGCTTGCTCATTTCCCAACACACCGGCATATTCTATGGTCTGAGGTCTGCCAGCTGCTGTTTATCTCCTCAGGGCTGCTACCTGAAAATTTTGTCACTCTTAGCTCAACAGATCTCAATCTGGAAGGCAGATCAACAGGAAGTGACGGTCTGCCATTGTGAGACTAAAGAATCTCAGTACTGATGGTAGACGAACGGGGTAAGCGCAGATATCTCATTCAACCTCTAAGGAAGTTACAATTAGGACACCTATCATATAGCGCACATTACCTATCATATAGCGCACATAACCTAACATATAGCGCACATAACCTAACATATAGTGCACATAACCTATCATATAGCACACATAACCTATCATATAGCGCACATAACCTATCATATAGCGCACATAACCTATCATATAGCGCACATAACCTATCATATAGCGCACATAACCTTTCATATAGCGCACATAACCTAACATATAGCGCACATAACCTATCATATAGCGCACATAACCTATCATATAGCGCACACAACCTAACATATAGCGCACACAACCTATCATATAGCGCACACAACCTATCATATAGCGCACACAACCTAACAAATAGCGCACATAACCTATCATATAGCGCACATAACCTATCATATAGCGCACATAACCTATCATATAGCTCACATAACCTATCATATAGCGCACATAACCTATCATATAGCGCACATAACCTATCATATAGCGCACATAACCTATCATATAGCGCACATAACCTATCATATAGCGCACATAACCTATCATATAGCGCACATAACCTATCATATAGCGCACATAACCTATCATATAGCGCACATAACCTATCATATAGCGCACATAACCTATCATATAGCGCACATAACCTATCATATAGCGCACATAACCTATCATATAGCGCACATAACCTATCATATAGCGCACATAACCTATCATATAGCGCACATAACCTATAACAATTATAATCAAATCCCCCCCCCCCCCCCCCCAATGCTGGCTAACTTGACAATCCCCCTTCCCCCCTCATAGCAATATAATATTATGTTCTTAAAATGTATTAGTTCGTAAATAATTATTAATAATTATATTATTATTATTAAATTCTACTGGGGATTTTCAGCCGAAAATATTAGTAGGATGTTCCGTTTTCAGCTGAAAATATTAGTAGGATGTCCCATTTTCAGCTGAAAATATTAGTAGGATGTCCCATTTTCAGTTGTAAATATTAGTAGGATGTCCTGTTTTCAGCTGAAAACATTAGTAGGATGTCCCGTTTTCAGCTGTAAATATTAGTAGGTAAGATGTCCCGTTTTCAGCTGAAAATATTAGTTGAATGTCCCGTTTTCAGCTGAAAATATTTGTTGGATGTCCCGTTTTCAGCAGAAAATATTATTAGGATGTCCCATTTTCGGCTGTAAATATTATTAGGATGTCCCGTTTTCTGCTGAAAATATTAGTAGGATATCCCGTTTTCAGCTCAAGATATTATGGTCATCCTATTGAGGTGCTAAGGGCATGAAAGGGGTCCTTTATTGTTTGTTTTGTAAATACTGCCCTGAGATTAACTGCTACAAAACAGTTGTGTTTTACTGCTGCAGCTACTTTTTATTGAATGAATGAATGAATTTCTACCCCACCATGACATCACACAAGCGATAAACACCCAATGACACAAAGTGCCACCATGCGGATGAGGATCACCGTGGAGAGGTCCCAGAAACCGCGTTCAGACAATTGGCCATATTTATGACCTGCCTATATTGCGGCCCCTGGCAAAAGCCAGAGTGGGGCTTCAAATAACAAAACATTACGTCCTAAAAAGGATGTAAGAATATATATAAATGCTGCATTATTTTTATACTTTTTATTTGTCAAAGAAATAAAATAAAGACACAAATAAACAGAACAATTGCCAACCTTCTCCAATCCTGAAAGCTTCAATTTCCTCTGGGGTTACTGGATCAAGTGGGTTCACGATAGCTGCTCTGCAAAAAGAAAAGAAAACGTGAGAATACTACAGACAATTTTGTTTATAATCCTTGGATACCTTGTTTTTTCTCATTTTCAATCTAAACTTTTTTTTTTGAGCACATCTATTAAGTTATGATCGGCTCTGTGGCTAAGTCGATGCGGATGCTTCGTAATGCCAGGATGCCGGGTAATCCCAGCTGTCGGCCATGCGCATTGCATTGGTTTCGACAGTGGTATCAAGAAAGCCAGATTTCTCAATCAAGACACAATTTCCTTTTCTGATGTGTTTAATTCATTTTCTAAAGTTTTTCATAACCAGAAACCTCTAAATTTTCTGAGTGGTTCCCCATTTTCAAAATTAACTATAAGCTTTGGTATAGGCAAGAATTTTTAACCAAAATAAAAAAAAAAAAAAATAAAAAAAAAATTAAATCTTAAGGGCCGAACAAACGTCCCATGCTAGAAGAGACTGCCTTATAAATTTCAATCCAAGGCGTCTTTTCCCTATCGTTCACTGACTGTAATTTCTAGTGAAGAGTTCTGCTTGTTCATTCACTTTTGGACTTTGGTCTTGCATTCACATCGATTTTACAGAATTGGCTTACCTGTACTGTATGCAGACTGTTGGTTCCTTGCCTCTCAGGCAAATGCACTCCGACTTCAAAAAAAAAATCCCATTGTTTAAGGTGTAAATTGTGCACAGTGCTAGTGTATTTTCTTAAAGTATCAATACTGTATCATAATTTCCATATACCTGCCACTTTCTCTAGTAATAAAGGGTTTGATGAAATTGGTCTTGGGCTAAAAAGTGCAGATATCACAGTCTTGCTGTGAACCACAACATAACGCACCAATTGCTTTTTTAAAGGCACAAACAAAAAGAAAAAAGTAACACTTTTCTAACACTGATTGTCATTGAAAATATATTCTCTACTCACTTGTTGGTCTGTGGGTTTCGTGCCACAAATAAAAATTTTGCTGTAATCACCTGCTGCATTACTCCATCGACCTCCTGTAAAATAATACATAAATCATATATGTGTGTGTGAATGCATTTGTTTGTGTGCATGCATATACACGCATAACGTGAGTTTGTTCCGTTCACTTATTATTTTAAAACAAAAAACCAAACATAAACATTCTAACAGTTGACAGGCAATGAAGTAGCTGAGATAATGGCTTGGGACGCAGAGGTGAATCACTACCCACAGGGGTGCACCATTGTGTGCATGCATGTAGTGCTTAAAATTATAATACCTTAAAAAAAAGGTGGCGGACAAACAACAAGTTTTCAGCACTGGTCACTACTTTAACTGTGCTAGGCAGAGGATGCCTCTGTAGGCAAAAATGGCTAGGACAACACGCATAACATGGGCACTGCTCACACAGAAAGAACTTGCAACCTATTGTGAGTATTCTGCAAAAGAAAAGTCATGTATATACACACAATGTTGAATGCAAATGTCAGAATGAGACAATCTACATTCTTTGGTAATGTCATGAGAAGGAGAAAACTGAAATACACCACAACAAAGGCAGGGAAAAGAGGCAGAGGGAGACCAAGAGAGAAGATGCTGGACAGTCTGACAAGCGGCATGTATTATAAGAAAAATAATAAGAAAAAAAAAGGTGTTGGTGCAGCCTAGCTTTGCATACCGCCAGATAAAAAGCTCTGTAAGAACATACCTCACACAGGCACATGCGCTACAAAGAGCCATAGATGCAATGGCTAAATGGGCCGACAAATGGTGTGTCAGCATCAACATAGGCAAATGCAGCACCACTCTCTTTACCCTTTCTCCTAAACAAAAATCAGGCGCCATGCACATAAATGGAGTACCCCTGAGAGAGGATAAGGAGCCCCCATACCTCGGCGTAACGTTTGATGATAGATTAACATGGAGAAAACACATCAACAAGGCAGCAACCAAAGCCAGAAGGAGGGTAGCCATTCTGAGAAAACTAAGTGGAACCACATGGGGTGCTAGCGGGAAAATACTTAGAAAAGTTTACCAACAAAGTGTTCGACCACATCTTGAATACGGATCAACAGCATGGAGTTCGGCATCAAAAACCACATTGCAAGAATTAGACAAAAGTGCAAAATCAAGCACTCAGAGTTACCACAGGCAGTATGAAATCAACACCTATAGCTGTGATGGAGAAAATGGGGATGACCCAAGCACTAAGTGAACGCAGAGACACCAAGATGCTTTTACAAGCAGAAAAGTTTCTTAGTATGCCCAGTCACCCTATGAATGAAAGATTCAAAAATTTAGATTTGGGACGACTAAAGAGAAGTAGTTTTATCCACCAGGCCAAACGGCTCGGCAGACAAACCACTGATTTACCTGCAACTGATAGATCCTTAAATGCTGTCCCAGAACGGACCCCCTGGAGAGAGGAGTATAAGTTTCCAATACACATCAAGACTGAAGTGAAAGGGGTATTTGACAAGGAAGAACAAAACAGTGTGCAGCGCAAAACAGCCACCCTCAGTTTACTTGATGATGAATACCCGCAGAACCTTTGGGTCCGTGTTTACACAGATGGGTCAGCAGAAAGCGCAGTCAGAAACGGAGGTGCGGGAGTGTACATTGAGTATCCTAATAATACCAGGGATACAGCCAAATTACCAACGGGAAAGCACTGTCACAACTATGATACAGAAGTTCAAGCCATCAAGATAGCAGTAGAGAAACTACTAAATACAGGGTATTTTTCACAACCAGTGGTATTCTTGACAGATGCAAAAGCAGTACTTCAGTCACTCCAGTCTGGAAAATTACCAAGCATACGGACACTATTATCCGAACTAGGCAACCGCTGTAAATTAGTAATGCAGTGGATACCTTCCCACTGTGGAGTTCCCGGAAACGAAAAAGCTGATAAACTAGCTAAGGAAGGTGCAACTGAAGAACAACCTGACATACCAGTCTATCAACAGAAGAAGAGAATGATCAAATCAATCAGAATGCCACCGAAACTGGCACAAGATGATTACCATATTATGGACAGACCAGAGCAAGTTATTATCCTTCGCCTTAGAACAGGGCACAATAGACTTCGCTCCCACATGTACAACAAATTTAAGATTGGCCAATCGGCCATGTGTACTTGTGGACTGGCACCTGAAACAACAGATCACATCCTTCAAGACTGTCCCATATTCAACGCTTTCAGGCAAAACATTTGGCCAAAAGAGACACTTGTGGAAGTCAAACTTTACGGGCCGCTTAGTGAATTACAAAAGACAGTGAAATTCATACAAGAGACGGCTTTGCAGATATAGACAATTTATTTCATGCGAACGAAAGAAGAACAAGCACATGCTTGTGCATGCACACAATGACACAAAATAACAGAAGTTTTCATTATGTGAATGGCATAACTACAGAAGATGGTCGATGTGAAACAAAAATATGACTCGTGATTTCAGTAGACCAAAAGGTGTTACAGGAGAAGGAAAAATCGAAAGAATACCATATCCGCTTCAGTTATTTTGTTTATTAATACAAACTAATAGAGGTACAAATGAAATAATGTATTTCCCTTGTGGGTTCTGGGGCTCCACTTAGGAGAACAAAGAATAGACCCACTGCTTCCCACTCGCATGTCAAAGGAGGTCCTAATCAGGGGTGTTTCCTTCAAAGTAAAATGCATCTGCATGAGAGGTAAGGGACCAACAGTCTGCCTACAAATAAGCCAGATCTATAAAATGGAAGTGCATGCAAAATTCAACTTTTGGATAAAGACCAGAGCAGATGAATAAACATAATTTTTCCACCACAGTTTACAGCCAGAGAATGAAAGAAGTGAAGCCAGAAGGGTAGAATTTTAGATGAGCCTGCGTGCTTTATTCTTAACCCAGTGAAAATAAAGTTTTTGTTTCACTCTCTTATTTTTTGAAAACAGAAACAAAGCATGAACATTTTAACAGCTGACAGACAATGAAGTAGCTCAGATAATGGTTTGGAACGCAGAGGTGAATCACTATCTGCAGTGGTACAACAGGATAGCTCAAACTGGTCTAGGCCATCCACACCTCTTCATGGTCATCCTGGTAAGGAGTTCCCTGCTGGGGACCAAGCCAACATAAAGACAAGCAATGCTTCTTTCAAAGTTGGAGTACATTTGTGATTTCTCTGCCCAGGGTGTGTTGTTTTGCTAGGTGGTTTGGTGGCCCATTCCTCACCACTTGTTATTCTGTCAATTGAAAAAAAGAAGAAGATGAAAGAAAAGAAAGAAGAAGAAGATTTTTGTATACTATACATATATTGAGAATCTTGCCAGTCCTTCAGAGATCCTGTGCTTTTTGTGGAGCAAAAAAAGGAAAACTAACACTTGAAAATCACTTAATTTTTACTTTGGGCACATTAACACCCGAGGGGACTGAACTGTACATAGCTTCATATAAAGTTTTCAAGTCAATGCTCCTGGCATTCTGCAGGTATTTATTCTCGGCCCCACATGTTTCTTCATTCCCCTGGCAAGACATCCACGTGGCTGCTTCTGGATACATCAGTTAAGTGATTTTTGTATATTATGTGGTTTTGTTTCATTTATGTATGTGCTAATGAAGGCTCTATAGCCACAAAATTCATGTTTCATTTGTCTTTGTTATATTATGAAGCTCGCTGATCCACTTTTGGTTTGGTTTTATATTTTTCCGTGATAAGGGTAATGTATATACAAATGTAAAAATAAATACCTGCTCCATACGCATGGTACACTCCATTGAAGACCTGCCAACCCAAGTGACCTGACCACTCATAAAAATGTCTTTAAGCGGTGACAGCCGGGGTGAGGATGATGAATTTTCTGAATAACAAGCAATGAGAAATTGGCTAAACAAGCAATGTGCTTTAACTCTTAAATTATGAAATTATACATTGGACAGGGTGCCCCCCCCCCCCCCCCCCCCCCAGAAATAAGTTCCCATACTCACTCACCAAAAATGTATAAAAAGTGCCAATACTTATTACAAATGTCTTTTATAGTTGCAATGAAAGGCTGATGCCTAAAAGTGCCAGTTAAAAGAAAAAAAAAAGCCCTGCTCTATAGGTTTCTAAAGTCTATATACATCTGTTGAAGCTTGCTTCTACTTCTTATACTGCTACTGCTTCTTAATCCTCTGCATCTGCTGATAATTTATAGGCTTATTAATCTTCTGCTTTCTGATTTGCTTTTGTTCAATAATCATCTCTAAAGTGACACTAATACACCTTAGTATCTTTAGGATATTCACAGCATCTGTGCCTAAATCCTGTGTGATGTTTAAATGGTTTCTACTTGGGTAACATCTAGCCTTCAAAACCACAGCTCAAGTCATCCTTTCCAGGGTAATGTAAACATGGACATTGTCTTCAGAAGATAGAAGGAAAATAGCCACGACAAGAATGAAATGATGTTTATGTACTGTGCTAGGTGTAACGAGGAAAGATCGACTCAGGAACAATGATACTAGAATGTGAAGCACAGAACCAATACTTTACTTTATAGGTAGACAATAAATCAAATGGTCTGGCCATGTTACAAGTTTGGCATCAGATAGGGCACCATAAAGAGCAGTGTTGTACAGATATAATGGTAACAGATACAATGGTAACAGATCCAGAGGCCGACCACTCAGAAGATGGACAGCAGAAATATCAGAGACACTGAAATGTACTTTATATGAAGTGAACAGAAGGAACTGTTCTCGTGATCTCTTCCTGTTCTGATGCCGCAAGGCATTCCAGGAGTAGAGAAAAGAAGGTAAGAAGAAGATGTCAATCTGATGGGTGTTCACTACATCAACTGGGGTGCAATGGTGCTGAACCACATGTGGTGCACCAGGACTGACGCTCACACTGGTGGGTCAAGACCTGTCTACATCTCTCCATAGTCTTCCCAGAAACAGGTTCTCAACCAGCAGCCTGGTCAATGTTGATAGGATCGATGTTTCCTCAAAGTCACAGTGCCTCTGCCTGAGAGGCAAGGTACCAACAGTCTGCACACAAAAATAAGCCAGATATGCAGGGGTGTTGCCATGGCGTTGGCTGCTAGACGCCCGCCTGCAGATCAAAGGTTGTGGGTTTGCGTTCTGACGGAGACGGACTTTTTTTCAAAAATAACCTTGACTCCCAGGTTAATCCCAGCCTTTAGAACACTTATCAAGGAAAAATACAAGGGATTGTGGAGAGAACAAACTAACAGTAGTAAACATCCACAAGACCCCATCAGCAGACTCAACAGAAAGCAATATACAACAATTTTCCATCTTCAAACAGGACACTGCAGGCTCAACTACCACATGCATAAGATAAAGAATGTACAATCCCCACAGTGTGTGCCTGTCAAACAGGACCACAAACACCTGGGCACATTCTGCAGACCTGTCCACTCTACATACAACTTCGAAAGACACCTGGCCTCAAGAGCAAAGTGTGCAGAGCAAGCTATGAGGAACCATGAAGGATCTGCTACTGACAAGCAAGTTCACAGAGGCAACCCACCTGATGGTCTGATCTGAGCATACAAAACCGAACGCAAAGAAGAAGATGAATCCAGTCGTGAGTGAGTACCAGGTGCAGTCCTGGAAAGTAAAGGTGGCCAGCGTGATGCTGAGTACATCACCCACCAAGTGCCGTTTGGTCTATAAAAATATAGGTCTACCCCTATAATCCCAATACACCCAAAGGCATGGACAAGGGACCTTTACTTTTTATAATATATGCATGTGCATGCAAAACTTCTTGAATAACAGCGGCGTTTACAGTCAGTAAATGTGAAGTAGACAATGAAGATTAAATAAGAAGAAGACTTCATGAATGCAATCATAGGATGACTGCCAGCAACTGATGCTCCCTGTAGAAAAAAAATGCATGTATGCGCATGAAAAGTTCCCTACTTCTTCCAGAGCTTGATTGATTTCTTTGGACAAAATTAAAGACACTTTCTGAATAGATCTCATACCTATTCAGTCAAATAAAGCAGAACTGTCCTGTCATAAATTACACTTACCTACTTTGTCCCTAAATGATTACTGATTTGTTATAAATGACATTTACTCATTCTGCCCACTAAATGATCAGTGACCTGTTATAAATGACATTTACTCATTCTGCCCACTAAATGATCATCATTCTTTTATAAATGACACTTAGATACTCTGTCCACTTCAGCACAACTGATTACAAATAACACCTAATCTGCCAACTAAAATATTACTAACATGTTACAATGACAAGTGCCTAAATGATCACTGATCTATTATCAATGACATTTAGTCATTCTGCCAGCTAAATGACCATTGTTCTTTTAAAAATGACACTTAATTACACTGTCTACTACAGCACAACTGATTACAAATAACACCTAATCTGCCCACTAAAATATTACTGACCTGTTACAAATGACACTTACCTATTCTGTCTACTAAAGCAGTAACAAACGCATAAGGAGATTTCTGATCTTCTCCGAGAGCTGGATTTTTGTTGTGGTTATAGCAGATATATCCTGAAACATCAGATCAGTTTACCTCAGAAATGTCATTGTCTCAGTGTTTAAGGGGGAAAAGGGACAGAGATTTAGGAAGTGACAGAGATTCGTCTAGTGCAGATTGGAAGGTCGTGGGTTAGCTCCCTGGCAGAGCCTGACTTTTTTTTTTAATGACCTTGACTCCCAGGTTGACACAGCCTTGAGTGAGTAACGGGTGCTGTCCCACGAAGTAAAGACGGCTGGCATGATGCTGACCACATCACCCATCTTGCGCCGATAAGTCTATAAAAATATAGGTGTAGCCCTATACGCCTAAAGACATCTTTACTTACAGAGATCCGTAGACATAAGATTTTCATACTCTTTCTTGTTCACAAAGTGATAGAACTTCAGATATAATAGATATACAATAGATATACTTCTTGCTTGTTTATGAAGTTTATAGCAGTAGTGAATGGATGACCTTAAGTGCAACAAAGCCTGGCATATGATACCACAACATCTGGTTGAAGGTGGTGCACATACATCATGATGACAGATCCTAGTGTACTAGAAGCAAAAAAGCCCTAAATACCAAGAAAAATACAGAAAAAGATTTGTTAGGTGGGGACTACAAACATAAATATTCTAGCCTAGACATGAGATCTTTTGTATACAGTCTAGATAGCAGTAACAGTAAAACTAGACACCAATAAATACCAGTCCTAACTCTAAATCAAAACAACTAGAACTTTGTATTACCCCATTCAACATCTGTTTATTTCATTGAACATAAGACAATACTAAGCGCTGTTCACAAATAACAAAACATTAACAATCCTCAACGTGCCAAGCACTTCACTAATAAAATGAACTATCTCCGAGCGATGATACGCACTGACATATCTCTACACAGTCTAACTACTAGAGACAAATTCATGGCTAACTATAGAAAACATACCACCATTATCATCATCAACGAGCTAGACCAACTGTTCATCCCCATGCAGTTGCTCGAACACGAGCTGCTGAGCACATGTATCGTGCATCAGCCACTGGCTGAGCGAGGTCTCTTGCCTCTCGAGCGCCTGTAGGTTCAGTCCGGAAACCAAAATAAGCCAGATTTTGAGTGAGCTGGCCTTTTTATACACAGTGGCTAGGTTTCTTCGCATTTGACAATGAACTAAATCAGGGTATTTATCGTCACATGATTCCACTAGGTGGTTAGAATTCTTCGGGATTTTCTTCAGGGTATTTATGTGCGCTGGAAAATTAACACACACACGGACTGGCTGATTCTGCACCACTTTGTGGTAAACTGTTGCCTGACAAGTTAGAGGTGGTCAAGGTCTTTTGGCCGCAAGTGAACAGTGTGGAGGTACAAATAAATCATCATGGCCTGAAGAGTGGTGCAGCACTGAATAAGACAGACAAATATACCACTACTGGTACCACCAGAATTGGAACTCTGCACTGGCTGCTGAAGATGGGAGACTGATTGTCTCTGGGAATATCCAGAGTGCTGTAATGTCACTTCTTGACTCAAGAATTTCAGATGCAGTAGATATACTGCAGGATCATTTTATCCTTTCTTGTCCACACAGTGACAGAACTTGAGATGTACTTGATATTCTACAGTTCTGTATCCTTCACTTACAAAGCGATAGAAGTTAGTTATGCTCGATAAAGTATTATCACCTTCTTTGATCATGATGCATAAGACATACTACACTATCATTTTTTTCCTTTGTTATCAGGAAATGATAGTACTTCTAACACACCACAGTAGTATCTTCTTTTACTGTTCAAGAAATAACATGACTTCAGATTCATTATATTTCCCCAAGTGGGTTCCTAGGCCTCATTCTGGAGGAGAGATAAAAAGAAAAGACCCACTGGCCCTTACAAACATGTAAAAGACATTTAAGTAGGGGTTTATTAAAGCTGCATGTGTTGTGCCAAAAGGGCAGATACTGCAGCCTGGCTGTAAAGCACAACATAATGTACCAACCACCTCTTTTAAGACTGTAGACAGAAGATGAAGAAGAAGAAAAAGAAGGAGGAGGAGGAGGAAGAAAAAGAAAAAGAAGAAGAAGAAGAAGAAAAATAATAAGACGAAGAAAAATAAGAAGAAGTAGAAGAAGAAGATACACTAGGCATATTACAGTAGGATCGTCTTTTACTAGGGATTTTAGTCAAAATTTAAAAATTAGGTTTTTTACTTTTAAACCAAAACACTAAAACATTATTTTCAGCTATTTAAAATTATTAAAACTGATTTGAAATTAAATTTAAAAAAAAAGGTAAATGATTAATACAAATAAAACTTGAATTATTTTTTATCTGTTTTTATAAATAACTAGATTAATCAATCTGAGATAAACAGTTCGTTGAGGCCACGTGGCAGCCGTTTTGAAAAATCTAAGATTTAGCTCTCAAGACATGATCGGAAACAAATTCAAAATTTTAACTTCGTCCTGTACAGATTCCAGCAAAATGCCCAGCTTTATGTAAAAATTGGCACAGAATCCAAAAATGTCAATTTATAGTATATATTTTCACTTTAAAAAGGAGATATTAAAGAAATTTACTTCCCGCATGGCAAATAGTGAAATTTATTTGGCTGAACAAAGATCGCTATGTAAGTTAGGTGTCGTTTGGTAGAGCGACCTCTTCTGAATAACTTTGAGCCCACGTATTCGATTCAGAACAGCCAGTATTGAGCGATGGGATTTCAAAGTAACTGATACGCAAAGGAGCCATTTTTCGTGGACCACCGACTCCCTCTTGTAACTTAGCGATCTCTACTTTCGTTTTAAATTGGGTCACTTGGTTAATCAGCATCCCTACTTTTACTGTTCATGATATCATAATTCAGATACACAGAAAATACTGTGGCAGTATTTTATTTAATGATGTGACTTCAGACACACGGAGTATTAGCATTACTGCAGATCTTTCTTTTACTGTGTATATATGAAATGCATAGGGTGCCTTCTGAAGCTGCTTATAAACGGATTCTCTTCTTCTTCTTCAGCATCCTTAAGGACACAGGACTGCAGGCTGAGCCTGGCTAGTGTGGCCGTTACAGGTGCCCTAATTATAACTTCTTTGGAGCATGAAGAGGGTATCTAGGATCTGCCCTGTTGGTCTGCTGTCCAGACTGAGATTTTTTAAATCTCACAATTCGAGTTTGAGTTTGAATGTAGAAAAGAAAAATTCCAAACTTGCTATGCCTTAAACACTATGCACTGTTACACTGAGGAGGGTTTTCTTTGCTGACTTATTTGTATTCCTTTTCTTTGTGGCGTACAGATATACCTGGTTCTTCCATTTCTTGGTCTTCCACATCAGGTGTGGTTTTGTTGGTCCTGGTGGGGTCTGGTATTCTTTTCTTGTCCAAGTGGGTTTTTGCTGTTCTGGCTTGTTGGCTGCTGGTCCTCGGCTCTCTGTGTGTCTGATGCTGTGCTAGAGCCATTTGGGCGATGGCTGGATGCTGGGTTTCTGCTCTGTAAGGCCCCCGGTTCGAGCCAACTGTCACCAATAAGCTAGGTAAATAATCACTGTTTCCCCCTTTTGAAGGGATTTTTATTTTTGCCTCACTTGGTGTAAAAGTAAAGGAGGTAACACTGATTGAAAAAAAAAGAAAAAAGAAAAAGAAACGTGAATGCTTGAATGTTCCAGAAAACATAGTGAGGTCAAAAGAAGGAGTGAGAGAGAATGATAGCTTGCTAATGTGAGAAAGAATGATCCCTGGTGCTTGTAGGTTCTTGTGGGATGAGGTTCCCTGCGATGCCTTTCCCTCAGGTAAAAATCTCACAATGCTACGGTTAAGTAGCAGTCCGTAGGGGACAAACTGACTGATCAATAATTTCTTCTTTAGCCCGTTATCCCCTAATTGAGCATAGGTCCTCAACCAACTCATTTCATGTTGTCCTCGTTTGTTATCACGCACATCTAAGCCCATGTTCTCCCCATCTTTTCAGCTTGATTCCAATTGTGTGTTTTTTGGTCTGCCTTTATTCCTTTCATCCTGTGAGTTCCAGTGCAAGGAAACTAGATGTAATGTTACCCAGTTTTCTCAGTGTGTGTCCTGTCCAACAACAGCATTTTCTTTCTTCACCTCTCGATTCACTGGAATTAGTGTAGTTCTCTCCCATAGAACTACACTACTTAGTGAGTCTGTCAAACCACTAAAGACCCTTTATTCGGCACAAGCAACAGTTTATGTATGAACAGACTATATGTCACATATGGGAGTCACAGTGGTATAATGACGCCTGTGTGAATGAATGAATGAATGAATCAAGAACTAGCATCACTGTACTCGGAACATTCCCACATGGGTTCTGTCCCCTTCTTCAGCAGCCAACGTAGAGTCGACATGCTAATAGTACAAGCTGCAACCTGATTAAACGTCTACTTGTTCCCCCTTCAGTGTTGAATATCTTTCAAAACCAATACTCCCCCCGACTGAATTAGTCTTTTAATGTATGAATTCTCTGTCTGTTACATTGCAACTGTCCCTTTGATCTCAGAGAGCCTTCACCACACTCACTTTATCATAAAGTAGCTCACCACCCGGAGGAGCAGAAGCAGCCAATCTATCAGCCTGCTCGTTACCTCGCACACCTGAATACTTGATCAGAAAATTCATAATATGCTCCAGATCTGAGTTTTATCAAGTGATGCAAGCTAACTGGGTATCAGTCCTGGAAAAATAAAATAGCTTGGTTTATGTTGACCACATCACCCACCGATGTGCGTCTGATCTATAAAAATATATGTGTAGCATCACATGCCCAACATGCCACTGGCTTGAAAAAGGTCCTTCACTAATGTCAAGTCAATAACTCACCTCCCAAGGAGTCAAAGTCCTCCAGGAGTCTTCCGAATCGAATGGAATTATTGTAAAACAGATACTTGTCTCTAGCCTCCGGCTGACTGAGAGGTATAACAGCTTGAACGAAACTGTCTGCTGGTCTGCGACGTGGCAACTCTGACTGGCTGGTGGCTACTTTCTGCAACACACCATGGCTCCCAGAGGTGATTTCAGTGGATCTAAGTAAGAGGACAGTATAATTAAATATCAGCACAAAGAAACATTTCAAACAAAGCATACTCTTTCTTTTTGTTCACCGGCTGTAAGCTTCAGCGGAAAGTCTGCTTGTTCGTACATGTGGCTTTGTGCCAGGGCCTGAGTTTTGCGTGTACATCCATTTTACTGGCTTATTTGTGTGCAGTTAGTTGTTATTTGCGGCTTAAGCAGATGCAGTCTGACTTCGAAGGAAGCTCCCAATTAGTCTATTCCTATGACATGCTTGTTGGGGAGGCAGTTGGTCCATTCTTGTTTTCCCTACTACAGGGCGCCGGAACCTACACAGGAAACAACGCATATTCCTTCTAACCCCATGCAACCAGTGCCAGATTTGGTCACTCACAACAAACCAGAAAAGAAAATTAGTAACCATGGAAATGAGGCGTCTGACTAGGGCTGCAGGAGTGACCAGAAGAGATAAAATCAGGAATAAGGTCATCAGAGAAAAAGCAGAGAACCAATTCTAAATTACATACAAAGACAGCACATCAAAAGGTTTGCTCTTTTAGAGAAAATGCCTTGTGATGCTATAACATACAGGGCATAGACCAAAAGAGGAGATGGACGAAGATGATGAGCTAGACCAAGAACAAGATGGAAAGATAACATCAGAGAAACTGTAAAACAGCATCGTGTGTTTTCTATGGTTGAGGCGGCCAGAAGAGCAAGAAGCAGAACCTTATATTCGCCTCGCCATATAAAACGGTAAATGAGGAAGTGAAGAACAAGATATCAGATAAAGGATATTAAGGACACCCTGGGCATGAAGTTTACAAGGTGGTACATTTTGCAAGTGACCTAGAGGTTGCAATGACAGCAATATCTTGCACAGGACCTGTAACATGATGACAATGATGACCCTTGTAAATACACTGACATTTCCTTATTATCTCACTAAAAACAAAAAGAAACAAAAGAAAATTGTTAGTTAAAATTGTGAAAATACATTACTACCTCAATATCCTTCTACTTACCCCCATTGTTTCCGGACGCCAACCATCTCCAACAAGTGATTTCTAACTGAAATATGATTTAAAAAACTTCATTACAATACTTTAAAAAAAAAAAAAATCACTGCTGTCTGTATTTACCACTTTTTAGGGCAGTGAAGATGGGAAAGGGGCGGGTCCCATGAGTCTGAGTCGAACTAGGATCTCGCGCATGAAAATCAATGTTTTAATAGCTTGGCCAGCGGCTTCTTCTTACTTCAATAGTAAAAAACAACAGAGTTAAAGTTACAAGACAACTAAACAGCTTCCTATTATAAACACATGAGTGAATAATGAAGGGAATGCTTCTTCACATCAAGGCACAGCGACGGACATTTCATGTGGTTCCTTTTGACACAGGAATGGAGCAGCTATGGGGTAAGCAGTTAGCTGTGAAGCTAGAATTGAAATTAACTTCTTCTTCTGCGTTCATCTGAAGGTATAATTGCGTTGTGCCCATTTACAGCATGGCTGCGATATTTGCACCTTTCGGCCGACACATCAAACCTCTGCAGGTATTTTTTTTACCGGGTTAGCCTTCCTGATAACTAAAATTAACTCATAACTGAAATACATGCAAGGAGAGTAAAATGGGGTTTGTTTTTTGAGGTTTTTTTGGTAGGGGAGGGTGGGGGTCACTATGTGGCTTGGAGGTTAGTGAACATGTTTCACATTTTTAGACAGACAAGAGTTTGTTTTCTGTGGCAGACAGTTTAGTACTTAAGCTGGTAACTATTTAGAAATATTTTTATTCACTTGATTTCCTAAGTTGATTTTACTCTTTACTTCATTTGCTAATAATTATTTTGCCTATTCTCCTTATAATAAGCGATATCCATGGCACAGTAACTGAACTGTTTGCCTCATTCTCAGAAAGTAGTTGGTTCAAATCCTGCCTCCACCCTTCACTTAGCAAAGTAGGCCTTTTAGAGATCACTAAGGGTTGCTGCTGGTAGTAAAGAGTTTATACTTTTTGCAACCCTCTCATGGGTAACCCTCCACTCTGAAGAGGGACTCAGCCAAATGAGATACAATTCAATCCTATGAAGTAAAATCATTTGCATTTAAAACCCCTTTAAATCCTACATTACATTCTTTTACCCCCCTCTTTCCCAAACCTACAATGATTATATTCATAAATCTTATCTGACCATAACAATCTTGCCTTCTTTGATAGTTAAGATTTTGCTTGCTTCAGCAGTCGTGGATACAAGGCGGATATGTCCAGATCTGTACATTTCAATGGTGTTGCAAAGAAGAAGGCGAAACATCATCTAGACATAATATTAGCATTAAAAAAATTTTAAAAATGTATAAATATATTAATAAAGAGTACATCAAGAGTAATTATACTTTAACAAACTATGCAAAAATATGAAAGAATAGAGCAAGAAACATTAAAATATGGAAGGCACAAACAAAAATGAAATAAAATCAAGAAAGGTGAATAATTTTTGAAGCAAGCGGTTCAACAAGTATCTATTGGGGTTTCCTTGTATGATGTATTTTTTTGCTATATCTCTTGATTCCTCTGTGATATTATTTCGTTAATATGCACCAACACACACACACACACACACACACACACATATATATATATATATATATATATATATATATATATATATATATATATATATATATATATACTTACATACATATATAGACACTGATTTAATTTATCCACACACACACAATTATCTTTAAGTATCATAAAAAAATATGAGAAGTAAGTTAAGAACTGACAATGCTGCAATCAAAACATTCCTATAAGCAGTCCATCCCTATTTTCAGTAGCCAGCATAGGCTATCAGTTCTGATGGTATCAGTAACAGTCTGTATGTCCATCTGGCCTTTTATCTAATTGTCGGCCAGATACCATCGTCACTTCTGACCATACTATTTTTTTCAGACAGCTATGATCTATTTGTGCCTCCCCTCTGTTCACTTGCTCCTAAAGGACCCATATATCAAGCTTGTCATGCATCAGATGTATTCCAGTCATTCTTATGGTCCTGACGCTCCCAGATAACAGAGATAAAAAATGGAGAAATTATAAAAAATTTGACAATTATTACTTGTAATATGTTCTTATTTTCTCTAACTGTCAGTATTTTCACATGCTGTTGAAAATGTTAATTGTATTGGTGCCATTTCACTCTTTGTTTTGAGACATAACATTACATCAACGATAGTAGTAGTAGTTCTTCTACTTCTTCTTTCGTTCACTTGAAATATATTATCTGTATCTGCAGTGTAGTCTCTAGTATGAACTTTTCTGTTTTTTTTAATTCTCTCAGCAACCCATAAAGTTTGCTTTGTTGTGTTTCTCTTGGGAAAATGTTTTGCCTTGATATGTTGTATTTGGGACAGTCTTGGAGGACATGATCTGTTGTCTCAGGTGCCAATCCACATGTGCACATGGCTGATTCCACAATTTCAAATTTTGTGTACATGTGGCTGCGAAGTCGATTGTGTCCTGTTCTGAGGCATAGAATAATAGGCTATCTTCTGAATAACGGTCCCAAATTATCGAGGCCGAAAATATACCCAACAGGGCCTCAGTCACATGTCAATTGTGCACTTCCGGCGACTACCGCCACCACAGAAAGTATCTCCCATGCCGCTACGCGCGGCATGGATTGCAGCTCAACTAGATGGCTGGGACCAACGAGCAGCAGCTACCGCATCTCCTGCAGCTTCCTTTATTTTATTTGCTCCTCGTGAGTCCCAGCCATCTAGTTTAGCCCCACTCCATACCGCGCGTAGCGGCGTGGGAGATACTCTCGGCGGTGGCGGAAGTCCGCAATTGACATGTGACTGAGACCAAGTTAGGGCACATTTTCGGTCTCGATAATTTGGGACCGTTATTCAGAAGATAGCCGAATAATAACTTGTCCATAATATGGTAATAGTCTTGTGCCAGTTTTGGTGGCATTCTGATTGATTTGATTATTCTCTTTTTTTGTTGATAAGAGACTGGTACATCAGGCTGCTCTTTTTTTGCACCTTCCTTAGCTAATTTATCAGCTCTTTCATTTCCAGGAACTCCACAGTGGGAAAGTATCCATTGCATAGTTACCTTACATCGGTTGCCTAGTTTGGAGAGTAGTGTTCCTATACCACTAACCAGGTAATACCAGGCAGTAGTAGTGATTTTTCGAGAATATCTTGTTCAACCCTCAGGGTTATAATTGAGATATATAGTGTTAATTGAATTTTCGGAATATATATTTAATTTATACATCATGTAATTACTTATATGACCAAAATGCAATGTGTATTGTTTCACATTTTGCTTTGATAAAGTAAAACAAGCATCCATCATCATCAACGAGACTTCAGTCTAAAAGTAAAACTATTAACCTTACGACTGCCTTGGATCATTTCTCAAGTATAAATGAAAATGATATATATATAACTATTAGAAATCATACTTTGGGGCTGGTAGTTTTAGTTAGTGCTGTTATTTTTCAACGGTTCTTTCTAGTCAATAGAGGCAGGTAGTCAACAATTGCTATTTCGATTATACACTAATTTCGTTGCTATTTCCTTGTCCGAGTTTTTGAAAAACCAGGAAATGAAATAGCACGTTCTTATCATCATCATGTGGCGGGCAATCAACCCACCATGGACCAGGGCTGCCGATGCTGAGTCCCCCCACCCCCTCCCCCACAGAATGATTTTTGTAGGACTGCTTGGAAAAATATGGTTTTTAAAAAAAAAAATATATCCTTATATAAAAGTGGTAAATGTTTCGTTCCTTAACTATACATTTTGTACATTTTAACAATCTGGGTTTAAATTTTTGTTTTGTTTTGGGGTTCTCTGCTTATGTATTGCTTGGGTTTTTGTTCAGCTTAGCTGGGTTTAAAAAAAAAAAATCCTATTGCCAGCCATGCTTGTGTGCTAGTAGACGGTTGTAAAGTGTATCCCCCTCCTAAGTGTCG